TTTGTATGCTAGCATAACATATAAATAGTTAAAAGAACGCCTATGTTCTCTTTTAAAGAGAGTTTCCTTTCCTAGAAAGTCGAACGGCGATACAAATATGGCTGCTAACTAATTTGACAATATTTTTAGTTCATTGGCATGACTGTCCAGCAGACTATTGTCATACCCTTGACCGATCCGGTTTTGATTTTGTATGAGACTGATGGACGATATGCTATCTTTAATAAACAAGAAACTTATTAACAACGTTGATCGAACGACACCACAGATTCGTCGTTATTCCCGTTTTCTTCTATCTTTACTTAAAAAATTATCAATAGGAAGTACTGAGCGGAATGATTAACACGACTACTGTTGTTCTCAAACAAAGAACTTTCCCTTTTTTGATAGCGACATCCTTGCTTCCAGCACTTACCATTGGCTTGCTGATATATCACGGTCAACGTGATAGATATCGAATGCTGACGGACACTGTTTTAATTCAAGATTGTGCGAGTTGCGTGCTGCTGAAGACAATGCATTAATTTACGGTCGCCATCATTTTCTGATTGAGAAAAAGCATATTTTCTTGGGCGATATAACTATCGACGTTTTCATTATGGTCCTGATATACTCCGTTTTCACTACCCTGGTTATCTGTCTGATGACGCGAGGAATCATCTAAAAGACACATTAACCCTTCAAGAACACTTTGTCTTATTCGTTTCGTTCTTATTCCATGGTTGCCGTCTAAATAATTCCATAATAAGTCCATATGTTCCATGAATTTTATCAACTTTTAGTTCAAATTAGGTTTTTGCTTGCAATTTGGTATTCTTAGGGTTTTTTTCATACCTTATTCTTGTGAAAGATTCGTGGAACTATTTTTTGTAATTTGTTATTTTGACTCGCGCAATGTCTTATGCAGTCGTTTTGTTACCGAAAGGTCATGAATGATGACATTGCAAGCACGATTTGTATTTGTGTGACACCTACTATTTATCGCCATGCATATGTATTACGATACAATGTCGGCACTGAAAAAAATGTCGATGAAGGACAGTATTACAAAGGAATAAAATGGGTATTTACTGTTACTAAATATAGATTGCCTTTTGTTTTATGTTGTTGCTCTTAAAATTGTTGTTTACTAGAAATCGGTAAATATGAGATGTTCCGAATTAAAACAAATGACTTATGAAAGGTGATCAGCGGCTGAAGCTGGAGACAGCGTGTGGAGTAACGAACTATGATGTCCCCTGTGGGTGACTGTAAATGGTGCTAAGAAACGAGCTTTGTCAGTTTTCCGCTTATTTTCCCAATACAATACAAAGCACAGTCAGCTTAAATCTACTCTGATCACAATAATCGATCATGTATAACACACAGAACCTAGTACAAAATACCTGATACCGATCCTGTATAACACATAGAACCTAGTACAAAATACCTTATACCGATCTTGTAGATCTTGTATAACAAATAGAACCCAGTATCAAATACCTTATACTGATCTTGTATAACACACAGAACCTAGTATAAAATACCTGATACAGATCGAGTATTACACACAGAACGTAGTATAAAATACCTGATACCGATCTTGTATAACACACATAACCTAATACCAAATACCTGATACAGATCGAGTATAGCACATAAAACCTAGTATAAAATACCTGATACAGATCGAGTATAACACACCTAACCTAGTACAAAATACCTGATACCGATCTTGTATAACACACAGAACCGAGTATAAAATATCTGATACAAATCGATTATAACACACAGAACCTAGTATAAAATACCTGATACAGATCGAGTATAACACACCTAACCTAGTACAAAATACCTGATACCGATCTTGTATAACACACAGAACCGAGTATAAAATATCTGATACAAATCGAGTATAACACACAGAACCTAGTATAAAATACCTGATACCGATCTTGTAGATCTTGGATAACACATATAACCCAGTACCAAATACCTTATACCGATCTTCTATAACACACAGAATCTAGTATATAATACCTGATACAGATCTTGTATCATACACAGAACCTGGTATAAAATATCTGATACAGATCGAGTATTACACACAGAACCTACTATTAAATACCTGATACCGATCTTGTAGATCTTGTATAACACATTTACCCAGTTCCAAATACCTTATACCGAACTTGTATAACACACAGAACCTAGTATATAAGACCTGATACCGATCTTGTATAACACACAGAACCGAGTATAAAATATCTGATACAAATCGAGTATAACACACAGAACCTAGTATAAAATATCTGATACAGATCGAGTATAACACACAGAACCTAGTATAAAATACCTGATACCGATCATGTAGATCTTGTATAACACACAGAACCAAGTATAAAATACCTGATACCGATCTTGTAGATCTTGCATAACACATAAAACCCAGTACCAAATACCTTATACCGATCTTGTATAACACACAGAATCTACTATATAATACCTGATACAGATCTTGTATAATACACAGAACCTAGTACAAAATACCTTATACCGATCTTGTAGATCTTGCATAACAAATATAACCCAGTACCAAATACCTTATACTGATCTTGTATAACACACATAACCTAATACCAAATACCTGATACAGATCTTGTATAATACACAGAACCTAGTACAAAATACCTGATACTGATCTTGTATAACACACAGAACGTAGTATAAAATACCTGATACCGATCTTGTAGATCTTGTATAACACATAGAACCTAGTACCAAATACCTGATACCGATCTTGTATAACACACAGAACCTATTACAAAATACCTGATACAGATAGAGTAAAACACATATAACCTAGTATAAAATACCTGATACCGATCTTGTAGATCTTGTATAACACAAAACCTATTACAAAATACCTGATACAGATCGAGTATAACACATAGAACCTAGTACCAAATACCTTATACCGATCTTGTATAACACACAGAACCTATTACAAAATACCTGATACAGATCGAGTATAACACATATAACCTAGTATAAAATACCTGATACCGATCCTGTCGATCTTGTATAACACAGAACCTATTACAAAATACCTGATACCGATCGAGTATAACACATATAACCTAGCATAAAATACCTGATACCGATCTTGTAGATCTTGTATAACACATATAACCCAGTACCAAATACCTTATACCGAACTTGTATAACACACAGAACCTAGTATAGAATATCTGATACAGATCGAGTATTACACACAAAACCTACTATAAAATACCTGATACCGATCTTGTAGATCTTGTATAACACATATAACCCAGTACCAAATACCTTATACCGATCTTGTATAACACACAGAACCTAGTATATAATACCTGATACAGATCTTGTATAACACACAGAACCGAGTATAGAATATCTGATACAAATCGAGTATAACACACAGAACCTAGTATAGAATACCTGATACCGATCTTGTAGATCTTGTATAACACACAGAACCTAGTATAGAATACCTGATACAGATCTTGTATAAAGCACAGAACCTACTATGAAATACCTGATACAGATCGAGTATAACACACAGAACGTAGTATAAAATACCTTATACCGATCTTGTAGATCTTGTATAACACAGAACCTATTACAAAATACCTGATACAGATCAAGTATAACATAGAACCTGGTAACAAAATACCTGATACAGATCGAGTATAACACAGAACCTAGTATAAAATACCTGATACAGATCGAGTATAAAATAATGTGTCGAGTATCAAATATATCCGCCACATAACAAGAACAATAGTACCAACTATCTGATACGTAACGAGTATCAGATCAGAATCACCTGACGGCACGTCACAACTCACGTGTCTTTATAATAAACTTGGGTGATCTTATGTCAGTTTATCAATAACGGCAGTCCTCAGGTCTTTTGAACTTGACTATGCGATGCAAGATAGAACATTACTAGCTTACCCGACTGAGACAAGGATAATTACGGAGACTTTCTCTCACGGTTACCCGACTATACCACGCATGTACGCGAAACAAAGCTAGTTTCCGTGTTCGGCTATCGTTGTCTCACAGTTGTTTGAATATCATGTTGTCCGACAATAGTCATTATCTTATTACTATCTGATTAGGAACAAGATGTACGATTGTATCTATTTGATTAAGCCTGGTCACGTGATTGGGCTCTCACTCTTGTTCTCACAACGTTGTGTAGTATTTTTGTTTTTAGTTGCTGTTTGATATTTCTGATGTTGCTGTATTGTTATAATATCGAAGGTTTTATCTTTCTACTCAAACAATGCATGCATTAAACGTGTCGCAACGTTTCAAGGCCTAGTGGTCCCTTTGTCAAGCTATGACTGAGTGAGCTATTTGTAGTGTGTACCTGTAAAACGATGTGACAAAATTGTATGTTTTATGTCACTCGACCCGGGACGTTTCACCTATCGCAAGGGAGCGTATACACACTGCATCAGATAGGTTACAGGTAGGACAAAGGGACTAATCGATCTTGAAACGTTGCGACACTTTAAATATGTACATTGTTTGTGTGGAAAGATGGTGACATCCTAGAAATAGTAAAAAGGGAGCAGTACAGGGCCTAACAGATCACCTGAACCAAGTGGACATAACAAATTCCATTAAATTTACCCACGAGGAGGAAAAGGACGGAACCATCCATTCTTGGACACGCTCATCGTCCGAAAAGAAAGCGGCACCATCAAACTATTGATGTCTCGTAAGCCTCAGTAGGCTGGGTGTCAATCATATATTGTTGTACATTTTAGATCATGCTTGCATGTATGTATTTTAAGCAAAATTGACATGTGACACTTTAATAAAATAATTTGTATTGTATTGTACTATTAGTGTACCGCAAACCGACACACACTGATCAATATCTGACTTTCAATTCGCACCATCCAATAAAACCCAAAAGCTTGGAGTCATACGTACACTCCTGAATAGATGTAACAACATCATCACAGAGCAGGACGATAGACACATGGAAGAACGGCACATAGAAGACGTACTTAACCGGTGTAGGTACCCCGACTGACCAAATAACAAATTAAAAAGAGTTGTAAAAGAAAAGAGAATATAGAAAACCCAATCTGATTAAAATCATCTGTCACATGGCTCCGCCTGAACATCTCAGTGTGCCGCGGGTCACGTTCAGGTGACCTTTATATTTATAAATACTCATTAAACTTTGACCAATCATCAGAGACCCTCTTTCAAAATGGCGCTCGGAGTTGTAACAAATATGGCGGACATTGATAAGAATGATGCGAAAGTTCTGAAGTTATTTGAGATTGATCGTCTGAAACCCGAACAGAAAAAGATATTCGAAGCTTTATTAGAGAAGAAAGACTGTATGGCGGTGTTGCCTACGCAATTATTACCCAATGGGTACGTTTTCCTTGGCGTCGTAGAAACGTCAGTTCCCGCCGCCTTATTTGTTTTGGGAAACTAGTCTGTTCGATACCCCTTGCTATTTATCTATCAATCATGATATTCCGATTCGCTGGCAAACTTTTGCCAGCGCGCCTCTGATTGGTTCATCTAAAGATCACTTGAACGTGACCCTGACCGCGGCACATTCAGATGTTCAGGCGTAGTACGAAGTTAACGAAGCCATGTAACATATGATTTTAATCAGATTGTAGAAAACCGAGACCGAGGAAAAGAAATACAAAGGCTGGGTCACAATATCTGACGTGAAGGTGACGTCTAAGGTGTATGCCCGGGTGATGAGGAAACACCATTTCAGCATCGATGAGACCATTGATCAAAGTCCGTACAAACGTTGTCATCAATCATATATAGAAGAAACTGGGAGGAAATTTGGTACACGTCTGAAAGAACTTCAAAAAGGACGTAGAGAAAATGAGCAACATCACATTTACCAGGTCCACACGCAAAACATCCGCCGCCCAGTACAACAAATCGGCATTAACAGATCACACTAACACCCAAAGTCGATTGGGACGATGCCAAAATGGTTGAAAAGTACAAAAACACAAAAAAAACAAAGAAGCGATCAAAATCAGTAGAATTCAAAACATGAACAGAGCGGAGGGGGACATCAGCTGAGTCATGGAGGAGGGGGCTAGACCTTCACCCAGTCGGTCTTGAAACGTTGCGACACGTTTATTACATCCATTGTTGTGTAGATAGATAAACTGTGATATTACATATTTCCAAACTGAATAATCTTATTGAATTTATTGTTAAATATTTGCTGTTTAATATTTTTCTTGGCGCTATATAGCGTCATAGTTGCTGTTCAATAGTTTTCTTGGCGCTATATAGCGTCATAGTTGCTGTCCAATATTTTTCTTGGCGCTATATAGCGTCATAGTTGCTGTTCAATATTTTTCTTGGCGCTATATAGCGTCATAGTTGCTGTTCAATATTTCTGTTGACGTTATGTAGTGTCGTATTTGATGTTTAACATTTCTGTTGACATTGTATAGAATGGCAAAGGCGATAATCGTTTGACACAGGAACAACATTTTGCAGATTTTGTTCGGGAAAAATTTCCTTGTCGACACATCACGGATTCTACCATAAGGCGAGGTTATAACTAGCGAGAAACATACGACAACAGATAACATATCTAGGCGAATCGGGAAAATGGTGATCACTGTATACTTAGTTCAACCTTGTCCGTTATCACGCAGGGAACTTAAAAAAACTACGACAAATCAAATTTAGCGGAACAAATGATGAAAGCAAGATTTCGGTTGGACAAATTATCTCTAACACTAATACAAATCCTTCTAAATATATACAAATAATATAATCTTGGTAGGAAAAAACAAATCTTTTCATCATTTCTTAAATAAAGGAGAAAATAGGTTAAAATCCTCGCCAGCAAATAGTGTATTAACAAGTAATGACGAAAGTAGACAAAAGGATTACAGACTAATAAAGAATGAATAGATAGCATCTGATCTTATTCCACAAAGGTTAGATTCTCTCATACCTTCTGGTCGGGAAACTCGACACCCGCCTTGTAAATCTGGGTCAAATCCAAGTAATGTTACGCCGTCATAGCGAGAACCTGGGTAGTGACAAAAAAACACCAAGGCACATGTATGAACATACTTAAATTCACCGACCTTCATTTGACGAAATAACAGGTGTTTCCAATGGAAGCCCTTCGCTGTGAGTTTTTCTGTCAGCAGTCGACACCTAGCAAAGAAATCACGGTATGCGAACCAGATCTTGAATACGGAATAAACTGATGAACTGACGCATGCGTACACCGTATCTAGGGAAACATGATGTTACTATCAAGAAAAGGAAACATAATGGTTCGAAAGTCTTAGTAGTAAGCCCTCCCTGTTGGTTGCCCTTGATGTTAAGCTCAGATGGGTATATAGGATCGATATGGTCAAAGACTGGACTACGTGTTGGTACCAAATCATGAAAAGCTCTTAATAAATTCATCTTCATATGACATCAAAAACAAGTCAGGCAAAAGAGGGACACAATTTGTTTTACAGTCTGCTAGAAAAATATAGCCACTAAACTTAACAGAGACACTGTCAGCAAGAAACTCGAACGATATTAGAATTATGAGACCATTCTCCCACTTTATACAAAGTAAGTCATTACTCGTTTGTCTTTTAAAAATTCAGTTCTGTTTACGTGCAAAAGAATTTCAGAAGGCCAACTGAGAAGAGTTGTTCTAAAATTTAAAAAAAAATCAGGAAAAAAGGGAATCAATTTACTCAAATTACCCAAATTATCATATAGAAAATGAAAACTATATATCATTTCCATAGTGTAAGCATATACGGTAATTCATTAAAACTATAAAAGTACCATCTCATGTTAATCTTTTTTGTTTACAGTGTAATTGACATGTTTCATATTTGATCATTTATTGACGCTATAAGTATCACATCTTCTGTTTTAACATTTTGTTGACGCTTCAAGTGTCACACCTTCTGTTTGAACATTTTGTTGATGCTACAAGTGTCACATCTGTTTGAACATTTTGTTGACGCTATAAGTGTCATACATTCTGTTTGAACATTTTGTTGACACTATACTCATATCCTTCTGTTTGAACATTTTGTTGACGCTATAAGTGTCACTCATTCTGTTTGAACATTTTGTTGACGCTATAAGTGTCACACCTTCTATTTAAATATTTTGTTGATGCTACAAGTGTCACATCTTCTGTTTTAACATTTTGTTGACGCTATAAGTGTCACACATTCTGTTTGAAAATTTTGTTGACGCTTTAAGTGTCACGCCTTCTATTTAAACATTTTGTTGATGCTACAAGTGTCACACATTCTATATTAACATTTTGTAGACGCTATAAGTGTCACACATTCTATATTAACATTTTGTTGACGCTATTAGTGTCACACTTTCTATTTAAACATTTTGTTGATGCTAGAAGTGTCACATCTTCTGTTTTAACATTTTGTAGACGCTATAAGTGTCACACATTCTATATTAACATTTTGTTGGCGCTATTAGTGTCACATCTTCTGTTTTAACATTTTGTTGACGCTATAAGTGTCACACATTCTATTTAAACATTTTGTTGATGCTACAAGTGTCACATATTCTGTTTTAACATTTTGTTGACGCTATAAGTGTCACACATTCTATATTAACATTTTGTTGACGCTATAAGTGTCACACATTCTGTTTTAACATTTTGTTGACGCTATAAGTGTCACACATTCTGTTTAAACATTTTGTTGACGCTATAAGTGTCACATCTTCTGTTTGAACATTTTGTTGACGCTTTAAGTGTCACACCTTCTGTTTGAACATTATTTTGATGCTATACGTGTCACACTTTCTTTTTAAACATTTTGTTGATGCTACAAGTGTCACATTTTCTGTTTGAACGTTTTGTTGATGCTATAAGTGTCATACATTCTGTTTGAACATTTCGTTGACGCTATAAGTGCCACACCTTCTGTTTGAACATTTTGTAAACACTATACTCATATCCTTCTGTTTGAACATTTTGTTGACGCTATAAGTGTCACACATTCGTTTTAAACATTTTGTTGACACTATACTCATATCCTTCTGTTTGAACATTTTGTTGACGCTATAAGTGTCACACATTCTGTTTAAACATTTTGTTGACACTATACTCATATCCTTCTGTTTGAACATTTTGTTGACGCTATAAGTGTCACGCATTCTGTTTAAACATTTTGTTGACGCTATAAATGTCACACATTCTGTTTAAACATTTTGTTGACGCTATAAGTGCCACACCTTCTGGTTGAAAAAAATGTTGACACTATACTCATATCCTTCTGTTTGAACATTTTGTTGACGCTATAAGTGTCACACATTCTGTTTAAACATTTTGTTGACGCTATAAGTGTCACACCTTCTATTTGAACATTTTGTTGATGCTTTAAGTGTCACACCTTCTAGTTAAACATTTTGTTGATGCTACAAGTGTCATATCTTCTGTTTTAACATTTTGTTGACGCTTTAAGTGTCACACCTTCTATTTAAACATTTTGTTGATGCTAGAAGTGTCACATCTTCTGTTTTAACATTTTGTAGACGCTATAAGTGTCACACATTCTATATTAACATTTTGTTGACGCTATAAGTGTCACACATTCTATTTGAATATTATGTTGACGCTATAAGTGTCACACATTCTATTTGAATATTATGTTGACGCTATAAGTGTCACACATTCTATTTGAATATGATGTTGACGCTATAAGTGTCACACATTCTGTTTTAACATTTTGTTGACGCTATAAGTGTCACACATTCTGTTTTAACATTTTGTTGACGCTATTAGTGTCACACCTTCTATTTAAATATTTTGTTGACGCTATAAGTGTCACACATTCTATATTACATTTTGTTGACGCTATAAGTGTCACACATTCTATTTAAATATTTTGTTGACGCTATAAGTGTCACACATTCTATTTGAATATTATGTTGACGCTATAAGTGTCACACCTTCTGTTTTAACATTTTGTTGACGCTATAAGTGTCACACATTCTGTTTTAACATTTTGTAGACGCTATAAGTGTCACACCGTCTATTTAAATATTTTGTTGACGCTATAAGTGTCACACATTCTATATTAACATTTTGTTGACTCTATCAGTGTCACATCTTCTCTTTTAGCATTTTGTTGACGCTATAAGTGTCACACATTCTATATTAACATTTTGTTGACGCTGTACAGTTTGTCCATCTGTTTTAGAGATATCAATTTGAGTATTACATAGCTGTGAATACGTGATATATTGACTGGTTAACTACTTGACATCATCAGATGTCAGATCTACTGTGGGGTTTTTTTTGGTTTTTTTACTCTGAATAATTTATATTTGGCTTCTTTTTTTCCGGTTATATCGTATAACTTTTAAAAAAGCACACCAACAAAACGGATGACGTCATATACCGGAACTACTTGTCTTACATCTTGTTTCCAGGAGTGTTTCTATAAAGAGCATAAATATTCATTAAATGTGTTTATTTTCTTTTTGAATTGATGTATAAGGAAAGATCCAGATGCAGTAACAATACATACCAGGAGAAGAAAAAAACAGTGTACACATTAGTACACTACCGCCTTTGGAGATTAATACAAACTACATCTGTTAATACACGTCATGGAGCTCACACCCAGCATTAACCCAAATTTTTCATTTTACATATTGACATAATTAAATACATATGCTGTGTTTTTAATTTGCTACATTTTATAGTGAATCATATAAACAATTTTGGACAAGAATAAAAGCGCCATCGTGAATATAATAACGTCCCACTCACAGTGATATTTCACCATGGTATACCATTCTCATATCTTATAAAAAAAATAATGTTTTGGCACAGTCCCCTGCAGAGAATTACTGCTAAAACAGCCTCAGATAGGTAATACAAAATCTTTGACAGTGCGAGTTACTTTCCCTTGAAAGCGCACTCCGTGACGTGTATCCATCCAAGGACAGGAGTTCGTCGTCCATCTTTAGATTTGATTTCCCCTTGCACTGTGTCTCCGCGTGTACTTCCTGTCTAGCTATAGGAACTGCCTCTGAAACCGATTTGGATAATAGTGAACACCATCCTGTCGAAAAGTCCGATTATATAAAATTACTTGATAACCTCTCCAATTACAAGGTCACTCACTTATTTGTTGTCTTTTCAATTTCAATTTATCATTTTCAATTAGACATGAAAGTTATACATCAAACGATTTTGATTTTATCAGCAATTTTATTTTTATAAATAAATGTATTTTGTTCGTTTTGTTTGCCATGATCCTTCATTAGCGCAAGACATCAGTTCGATGCTGGAAAATTTGACTTCTATGATTTTAACGGGTGCCATGAAAAAGGTGAAAGACATGTTTCTGTACCGTTATCTCTTACCAGGATCGGGTGTCCTTCCGGTACTAGCACATACAATAGACGAGAAAGCGTCTTATCGACGTGGTCACAAAGAGACGAGAAGTCGGCTTGATCTCCGTCACGGAAATGTTTGATAATGTTGACATGAGCGTAGGACAGGTATTCTCCAATAATTAGCCGAATAAACGTACGTGTACTTAGGGATTGACTGAGAAATATAATTTCCGTTTTCTCTTTCAGGATTCGGATTTGATCTTATCTATTTCACTGAGAGTTCATCGCTTAGTTCTTTTATCTTTTCGATGTAACATCCACACGAAACACGTGCCTTGCCGCTTGGCCAATCTTACAGAGTTCTAACTATATATATATCAATGGTTGGTATTTTCCTTTTTTAATTTTTGATTTAAACTCACTTTTGAAAAACTATTAGTTTAATTAGAAAAATAATAAAATAATCAACATATCCAACTGATTTTGTCATTTTGAACGTTACTTTTCAGTAAACCCAAGCATAAACAAGTGCGCTGGAAACCTACACGATTATTATTTTAAAAAATAATGTCGCCATTATTACACGTGAGTTATCGTCACGTGCCCCAATATGACACATAATTCTAATGCAATTCTTAGTGTTATTCTCGTATATATGTGTAGTTCCTTATGACGTATATATGTGTAGTTCCTTATGACGTATATATGTGTAGTTCCTTATGACGTATATATGTGTAGTTCCTTATGACGCGAAGACTCAATGCAGAAATCTATCTGTCAGAAGAAAGCATGTAGCTATCAGCTCAATAACGTTAACAGTCAACTTAAACTGACAAAACAAGCAAGTTTAGGGAATTAAAGTTCACCGTCAAAGATAAGATTTAATAGAAAATCCCCAGGCACAAATTCTAGTTTGATAAGTGAGTCCTGAACACGTTGTTAAACTACTCGCTCAAACAATAAAAGGTGTGTTCCCGAATACTGTTCGATTTTAAAATTGAAATCAATGAAAAGGTAAAAAATCCTGCACGTCTAGCTGATTGTAATGTTCTATTTATAACTGTTGTGTTAAGGAAAGTCTGGTCGATGGAAGAGGTGTTTGGAATGTATTTTTAGTGATCTTTATTTTCATAAAGCTTTATAAAAAACAGACTCTGAAAATATGATGCTCAAATTCACGCTTTATTTGAGTGGATAGACGTCCGTTCCTCTATACCGAACGGTTCGGGTTACAATTCGGTAGACGAAAATAAAATGTCTCTGCCAAACTGGATATTGTCTTCCGTACGTAAAAATATCCACCATTTTGGAAATAACCTTGACAATAAATATATAGTAAATTGAAATCAAAACAAGGGCTAATAATGCAATTTGAGGTCCAGACATGGCACGAGTTTTTTCTACGTTATCTGAAGGTTTACGATATCTGACGTATTTTTCCAGACGTGTTCATGGACAAACATTGCAATCCAGGTACTCCTGTTACCAACAGACAATTTGTGGGTATAGACGACCGATACATCATCGAAACCTAATGAGCTGGCGTTGTGTGGTGTTCGAAGTCGCGGGGTTTTCTCGGCTATGTACATTGGTGTCGTTGATCATGGGTTCGAGGTTGCTATTTGGGTTTCATGTGTGTGCGTCATTTTTGAATTAAATACGCTTCAATCTGATGTAACAGATGGTTTTAATCAGATTGAATACGCTGAATATTGAACTCACATTTCAAAACTTAATTTTATTTCTTTTAGAATATTTATAATTGAAACACAAAGATATTTTTGTGTCGATTTTATTATTCTTTCCAACATAACGACCACGGTGTTCGGTTTGCAGTTTTCCTTAAAAGGCTGATAAATCAACTATACTATCTTACATTACAAGTAATTCAGTCAATGTGCCAGGCATTCTTTCACTAATTGAATTGTGCAATTAAAGAGTGATTTTAATTGAACTGCACTTCTTTGCGGATTTACATATTTCTTTAATGTATAATAACTGCAGTGTAAGCAACATCTCCACACCACCCACAGACGGTATTACCCGAGAATCAAGTGAACCTTTCCACATTTGTTGCAAGCAGATTATAAAATGAAACATTAATATCATCGTTACAGGAAATCGATGTTATTTTATTGGAATCATATTAATCTAATCTTGCATCTTGCTTTTCGTCAAGAAAATTTAAATTTAAAATAAAAAAAACATTTTATTCTTTGCCATTTCAATTCCAAAACCAAGTTGAGATCGTTTTTTGATACTCGTGTAAATCTATAGTCACACGAAAGTCTCCGGGTCTGGGTCACACCGGAGAAGTTGACGAGACTAGGTCACATCAGAGAAATTGACAAGTCTTGGTTACGGCGGAGAAGTATACCAGTCTTGGTTACAGTGGAGAAGTTACCGAGTCTTGGTTACGGCGGAAAAGTATACCAGTCTTGGTTACAGTGGAGAAGTTGACGAGTCTTGGTTACAGTGGAGAAGTTGACGAGCATTGGTTACGGCTGAGAAGTTGACGAGTCTGGGTTACGGCGGAGAAGTTGACGAGTCTTGGTTACGGCGAAGAAGTATATCAGTCGTGGTTACAGTGGAGAAGTTGACGAGTCTTAGTTACGGCGAAGAAGTTGACGAGTCTTGGTTACGGCGAAGAAGTTGACGAGTCTTGGTTACTGTGGAGAAGTTGACGAGTCTTGGTTACGGCGGAGAAGTTGACGAGTCTGGGTTACGGCGGAGAAGTTGACGAGTCTTGGTTACGGCAGAGAAGTTGATGTGTCTTGGTTACGGCGAAGAAGTATACCAGTCTTGGTTACAGTGGAGAAGTTGACGAGTCTTTGTTACGGTGGAGAAATGTACGAGTCTTGGTTACAGCGGAGAAGTTGACGAGTCTTAGTTACGACAGAGAAGTTTATCAGTCTGAGTTACGGCGGGGAAATATACCAGTCTTGGGTACGGCGGAGAAGTGTACCAGTCTTAGTAACGACGGAGAAATGTACCAGTTTTGGTCACACCGGAGAAATGTACCAGTCTAATTTACGGCGGAGATATACCAGTCTTGGTTACGACGGAGAAGTAGACGAGTCTTGGTTGCGGCGGGGAAGTGTACCAGTCTTAGTTACGGCGGTTACTAGGTTACAGCAAGTCTATTAATATTTGTCATATCGGAAAGTCAACGGATCTGGGTTACAGCGAAGAAGTCTATGGATATTGGTTACAACGAATAAGTCTTCGGGCCTGGCTTACAGCGTAGATGTATACGGGCCTGGGTTACAGCGTAGAAGTCAGCGGTGATGCTGCGTCAATATCTACGGGTCTTGGTAACAGCGTAGATATCTACGGGCCTTTGTTACAGCAGGTCTATAAATCGAGGTCATAGCGGAGAAGTCAACGAGTCTAGGTTACAGCGAAGAAGTCTACGGGTCTGATTTACAGCGAAGAAGTCTACAGGTCTAGTTTATAGCGAAGAAGTCTGCGGATCTGGGTTACAGCGTAGATGTCTATGGATCTAGATTACAGCGAAGAAGTCTACGGATCAGGGTTACAGCAAAGAAGTCTACGGGTCTGGTTTACAGCGAAGAAGTCTACAGGTCTAGTTTATAGCGAAGAAGTCTACGGATCTGGGTTACAGCGTAGATGTCTATGGATCTAGATTACAGCGAAGAAGTCTACGGATCAGGGTTACAGCAAAGAAGTCTATGAGTCTGGTTTACAGCGTAGAAGTCTACGGGTCTGGGTTACAGTGTAGATGTATTCGGGTCTGGGTTACAGCGTATAAGTCTACGGGTCTGGGTTACAGCGAAGAAGTCTACGGGTGTGGGTTACAGCGTAGATGGCTACGTGTCTTGGTTACAGCGTAGATGACTTCGGGTCTGGGTTACAGCGTATAAGTCTACGGGTCTTGCTTATAGCGAAGAAGTCTACGGGTCTGGGTTACAGCGTAGATGTCTACGGGTCTGGGTTACAGCGAAGATGTCTACGGGTCTGGGTAACAGCGAAGAAGTCTACGGGTCTTGGTTACAGCGAAGAAGTCTTCGGGTCTGGGTTACAGCGTAGATGTATACGGGTCTGGGTTACAGCGAAGAAGTCTACGGGTCTGGGTTACAGCGAAGAAGTCTTCGGGTCTGGGTTACAGCGGAGAAGTCTACAGATCTGTGTTATAGTGGAGAAGTCTACATTCTGGGTTACAGCGAATAAGTCTACAGTTAGTGTTCACAGTGGAGAAGCATATTGTATATTTTCTTATATTTGGGCATCATCTTTGACAAATTGTAAACATCCGGAATAGTAGGCAAGACTGGGTGACGGTTTAGACAGATTTAACTGAGTTTATTTTTCGTTAGTGTTGACGATGATGGATTTTGTCACAAGTCTAATGTTAAGACAAGTAACACAAACCACAACTCCTAAGTTCAATGCAAAGAAAAGTAACGAACAAAATAGACAAAAGCAAAAACAACACCAGGTTATAATTATAGTTATATTTCATTGTGTATAACTTTACATTAAAAACAAACAACAAAAACCGGTATTTATACAATAAAATATACTGTACATATTAATATTCTGTAAAATCAACTGTGATAATCAACCCTACAGATGCACCAAATTGCTGGTGTTTGTAGATTCATTCATAAACGTTCAATTCTTAGTGTTCAATTGTCCATGTCTGATACCAGAGATAAAATGCACCGCGAGAACACTATGAACACCGTCGTAACGTATGAACGAGAACATACACAAAAAGGTTGAACAATAACACATACATTTGTTCAACGTGAACATGAACATAGAGCGTTCATATAGCAGTCCGTTAATAGCACGAGTAAATGTTACAAATGGTCACACAACATTGGTTACGACACTGATATGCACATCACGTGATTACCAGAATTATCCAATGAAATTGTTTGTTCCATAACTGCACAAATCACAAAATTATCAGTTTCACACAACCGTCGTCAGTGTTCATTCAAATGTCAGTCTGAAAATGACGGACTGTCTTCACTCATAGGGCTCTCGGAACCGATGTACCAATTGGAGGGACCTGGAAACACAAACAAAAAACATTAAATATAGCCAGAGAATCATCACGTAACAGTCACCAATGTTGGGAACATCAAGAGCACTACTAGTATACTTCATTAATGGTCACGGACAATTTAATATAATATTAAGAAAGATAAATGACCTATTACCTAATAATGACAATGTATCATGGATTATATCGGTACAAAAAATAAGCACTTTAGCTTTAAAGAAATGAATACAGTGGGACACATACAATAAAAACGTGTTTCCATATTTTCCTTTCCAAAGCTATAGCAGACATCTACAAATTACATTTAATTACTTACTAGAAAGTTTAGACCACTACAAGTTCCATTAAAATTCTTTTTGGATGATTTAGACAGCTAAACGTTTCATTAAATACTTACTAGATAGTTTAGACGGCGAGGAGAGTGAGGACGGACTCGTGTTGCCGCTCTGTGTTTGTTGTTGCTGTTGTTTCTTTTGTCTCGCTCTGGAATTCTGGAACCACACTTGCGTCACGCGCTTAGACAATCCCGTGATCTGGGCGATTCTCTCGAGATCTTGTCCATCCGGGTTACTGTCGAGATGGAAGTTAGCCTGGAGAACCTGTACCTGATCCTCCGTAAACGTAGTGCGAACTCTTTTCGTCTTCGACTTCTGACTACCTTCTGAATCTGAGAATATAAAGTGTGGGTTAGAAACAGCATGGAGAAAAACGTGAATAAAATATAAGGTCAAGTAAAACAGTCATCGCTAATATCAAGTAATAACATGAAGCACTACAGCGCCTGATCATAAAGAACGCCTATGATTACCGCCCGGTACGTACTTTGTAAGGGGTGCCACACGTTAACACCATGACAGACCTACTGCTGTAAACATTGTCTAGATTGTTGTTTGATGGTTGATCTTAACAATCAATGTGATTTCTTACGTGAATGCTTCACTTCTAGTGGGAATGACTCCACAATGAAATGTATACCTGTTATTTACACTTATTCTCATACCTGTCTTGCCTTAGTTCTGATATGCCTCAGTGACCTTGATAATTGTGTGAAAACTGAGAACAAACAAACAATGGTAACACACAAATTAACACCTTAACAAGGTACGGTAATGACCAGAAATCTTACCTTTTCTCGGACCACCTTCGAGAGTTTCCACGTAATGTGTCTTGCAGAGTACCTTCCCCTCCTGTATCGCGAACTCCTCCCCCGTCGATAGCTGGCGCTTACAGTTGTCGCACGCAAAACATGCGAGATGAAACACGTGGTCACGTGCTCGTCTAACCCAATCGTTGGCTTGGATTGACCGGAAGCACTTAGCACACTTCACTCCGAACTCTCTGTAACAGGAAAGAAAATAAAAAGTTAAAATATAAGCTCGAACTTGCGAATATTCCAAAAATAAGATCAATACTTTTAAAACAGTTCCAGAAAGGAAAATAGAATTGTTTATCTAATCTATTCATTTTTATTGAAAAGGTAACCTTTGTATATCCATGAAAAAGTCCGGATATGGGAATCTAAATTGTTCATACAATGTAGTTGATAAAAAATGGTGACTTATTTAATAAAGCATTTTATTCTATTTTATTAGATTAATTTAACAAAATCTGAGAAACAGTAACATAAAAGTGACTGTCAATGTAGATGGTACCACTTCAGTGTAACAGTGCGCTGATCATAGAAAAGTTCATTTTAAAGCTAACCAAACAGACGAATATCTGATAAAGGAAATCACGCTAATTTTGTGTTTCCGGGAACACCCTGGATGTCGATATTTCCCGATCTGCCATCATTTTCTGCCTAATTACACTCAATCAATACAATAAATTTGTATTCATCAGACGAACGTACGATGTTGCGATGTTCAACCTTTTCAATTGATGCTAATTTGGCCTATAAACGAACATTCGGTTCGTACAGTCACGTCTTGTCCTGTGCGACGGAGGATGGCTCATTTCTGGCATTCACGATCTTCCAGACGAGCCGGTATCATGTATTCTGTTTGATTTGATCCAAAGTCGACAGAGGATAACAATGAACTTTGGGATCTTTAGAGAGTTGCTCTTTATTCGGTCAATTTCTCCGGTAAATTGTCATAATGTTGATTCTCTCGTTCGTTTGACATAATATCCGCTGACATTTTCACATGTTTTCGTTTTTTATGATGAATTGGTTTGGTGCATCATTTAGAAAATCACATCCTGGATAGCAGCCTTTCAAATATAAAACCCCTCAGAATAAATACTAATATGATGGCCAAGACCCGATCCCTGTCATACCCCACTTCTACAGAAGGGCTGGGATGGCTAAAAGATTACATTTCTCACGATCGTTCAACGTACCGTCTAATTTCGTTCTTGTCTTTTAGATTATACGTACACATTTCATGTTTAATGCTTCGAACTGGTAGAATACGTGTATTGGCTGGAACAACCCATGCCTTATTGTTTCCGTCTTTCTTCGTCAACCTTCTTTCGTGTTAATAAATATCTCAAACATTGCGACGTCAATGTTTATTTGTCTCCAGCTCTGCTAATGCTATTTTATTAATCGCAGAATTTCATGTTTTTGGCATTGCTTGTGATTACTTATTTTTTATAGTATTGTTGAAAGTTTACATTTTATACGCGTACATATCGAATGCGGAAGCGCTGTGGGATGTGGATCGGGAGTGTGGCTTGTGAGGGGTGCTTAGTTACACACGATTAAAAACGGATATTTCCGGATGTTAAGAATAACGTTGAACACCAAATTGCGACTGACCCTGACCTTGTGTAGTCTGTCCGGCAGTAGATGTGTCCCTCCTTGATGTAGCACGAGGTCTGGCGCTCCAGATTGGTCTGACATATACAGCAGCGGAGACATGACATGTGCCAGGACTGACCATCCACCCTCAGCAGGAACCGGTCAGCGATCAGGTCACCACACCCGAAACACAGGTCACCGTTTTCACTGTCAGGCTGAAACAGTAAGGAAGGAAATAATAACATGTGCACGAAAAAGGATTGTTGTCACAACAAAAATCGCTTTTTATTGAAAAATGTTTTTTTTTCAAGTTCAAGTTAGTAGATTATTGTTAATACAGCAACATTCATCCACAAAAAAAAAGAAGATAATTATCTGACTAATGTTTCAGGTAAAACAAACTTTCACCGGAAAAAAAGAAGAAGTTAATACAACAAGATTTATCCACAAAAAAATATCTGAATAATGTTTCAGAAAAAAACACCTTTTACCGAAAATAGATCTGATGAAGAAAACAAAGACAGTAAATTGTTATCGGGGAGTTTATGTATGATAAACACAAACACAAACTTGATATAAAATATAAAAACCAAAATAATTTTATAACTGAGAACAGCTTATCTATTTGATATCTCTATCTACTAACTCCATCTGTTCGTTCAGTGCGATGTTAATTGTAAGAGACACTCTTCCCGGGCCGATACAAGCTGACATCCCAGATTTTCTGTTAAGTGGTAAGTGATAATCAATGCAACGCTAATTATTCCAGTAAAACAAAACACCCAAGTTGTCCCCGCTCCAGTAGTAAAGGTCCCAAGGCTCCTACACTTAAGTAGCTTGTTGAGAACACACTTAGTATTTATTACATTTAAGTAAACCGAGGTCCTAATGTTTTAACAATGTGTCAAAACTGGTGTCAGTGCCCCACACTAGCAGCTTAATACCGTCAGGGTCCACATCCACACCAATCTACACAGATTTAGGTCTCATTCGATTTTTAGTAAAAAGATCATTTTTTTCATATAAGGATTACCGACTTTGGAGTAGGTTTCTATCACAAACAGGAATAACCAAAAGAACTATCTCAGTTAAATTATAACTCACTGATTTTATCAATTATAAATTTAAAATGAAAACGTACAAAATTGCGTTAAGATGACAAAACTTGAAAGCCTATCGAACATCTGGAGAAATGGTTCAGTGGCTGAAGTGGAGAGTCTGCGTTCTTTTATCGCTTTAATAAATCGGACATTAAAATGACATACAACTGACCAAGGCTTGTCCGGAGAAGTTAGAGCGATGGTCTGGACATACAGGTATATTCAACAAGTCGTTAATTCTTTAACATTTCTTGAACATTATTTTCCGATTATGCAATTAACGGTCGTCTATAAAAATGTTATTGATCTGAAATGGTCGTTAATCTCCCAGCTAAGGTCAGAGAAAGTCACACAAACAAAGGAACCGTTGGCACTCCGGATGTACAACAAAGTGTCCAATTGTAAAAATATGCAGCAAATACGTGTAAACTTATTTTATCTTAAATCATAAAACCCGCCACATCATTTATATACAGCAGGATTACATTTATATTTTTCTGTTTGCAAAATATATTTTTTCGTTATAATTCTAAATTTCAACATTTGTTCGTTATTTTTGTTTATTTTCAATGAAAGAGATGGTTATTATATCAAAATTATCTGAAAATTTAACATTAACGTTGTAAACATGATAAATGAGTGGTGTGGTTTATATTTAATGATCACATTCTGACACACAATATATGTCATTCTTATTATGCCTGTTCTATATTTTTGTTGTTGATGTTATGGCTGTTGACTTAACTAAACACATTTGATATAAGTATATATTAACATACTTATTACTTAATGTGTTGAAAAGGAAAAACACAAGAATGTTTTCATTTAAAATCCTCTTATCCCTGACATCTATATTGCCTCTGTGACCTCACCCCATACGGGTTGGGACAGGCTGGGCATTGTATGGACACGCCCCGGGAGGGCCTCCCCTGGTGGTGGGGCGGCCGATAAGTAGTACCTTCTTGTCTGAGGACTTGGTTCCATTGTTAGGTAACTATTTATCTATATCCAGCGATCAGGTACATTCTTACACTAAACGACTCACTGTATAGTTTTATAAGTTGTTATAAAGGGGGATTAGGAATGTTGATCCCAGATATGGAAAGGTGTAAATAAATAACAATATAAACTGTTACCGCATTTTATTGTCATTTCTATCAATAGACCTGGGAACGTTTTAACGTTGTGTTCTTACTATAAACAAACGAGAAACTGATTTTTTAATGGATATTTTATAGCCACAACAATATTCTTGCTATATCTGTTCCAATAGAATTTACTGATAGCAATGCAGTATGATTAATTGTTAATTAATTCATTGGAAATTTTAGCAAAATTAAACCTACTAAATTTATCCGAATACATTCATAGTCTATAACTGGAGTTTCATGAATTTGAGAAACGAATTTAGCGTTTACTGTAAATTTTGATTTATATACAACATGTACATAATAAGTATACCGACCTGGTTGCGTAAATGTTTAATAAGATAGATCTGTACGGAGAACACCTATACCTCGTTACCTTAGTTTAATCTACAAATGTTACATGTACGACTGACCATTTTTTTCGGAGTAAAAATTTCAGGGGGAAAATGAGAAAATATCCATTATGACAACGAGACATTAGCTATAATGGTTTCGTATCTCAAATAATAATGCAAAGTGTTTTTACAAAAACAAATGGATTTTCATTTTGTAGTTGTCGTGACAGAAACACTGGCAAAATACCTTTAAATGGTTTAGTGGTCTGTCTATTAATGGGCGGACGCTGGTGACGGCTCGCCTAGGAGTTAGGAAGCCAGCCAGATGGAGTATCTAAGTGGAAAGCGAGTGCGGATCAAAAGCGTACGGGGTAACGCACTTCCGCCAAGCTTCAGTCGCCGACCCAAAGTTGGCGTTTTAATGGAGCACCAAGAAGACTTTGCACGAGGCAGAAATGGAATTTCAACGTAAAAACGGACATGTCTTTCACTAGGTAATACATTTCTTTCTAGTCTCAATATCAACATCACTACAATGGCGAACCTACACGCATTTTCCTTACTTTAAACCGATCCGTAAAATATAAACCACTATTATAAGTCGTTCATACTAAAAGGGTTCGGGATGCGATTTTCTTAAAAGGTTGAATCATATCTTCTATGAAAATGAAACACCAATATGGTATGCATACACATCGTATGCTGATGGCTTTAAGAATTATCTCTTTTCAGGAATCGTAATATTCTCTCACATGACACAAAAGGATGGAACGCGGTTCTGACTTTCGATAAAAAATGAATTTCCCATTTCTGAATCTTCCAACAAAAGATGATGGACAGACGCGTAATGCAATTTGTCACCGTTTTTATCCCTCATCCAGAAACCCCTTATATTGAATTAGCGATGTTTAACAAGAGACGCCGCATTTATAGAGCTGAAATGTGGTTTCTAGGATTTGGGAATGTGTCTGCAGATTGCGGTCAAGGCAACACAGGATTAGAAATCATAAATTCTGTCCCACTGTCCTCTTGATAATAGTGCCTTATTATTGCAAATATTTCTTATTTAAAAATATGACTTAATAACTTAATATTTGTCATTATAGTAGCACTATGAAAATGTAAAACAAATATTATCTTTGTAAATACGTTTGTTACAGCGCGAATTTATACCCCTAAATAAAGTTTAATTGCATATTGATAATGAGTTGGTAAAAAACCTCGATAGTATTATTTGAAAATAATTAAATTAGTATTTAGATAAGTGTAAAATTATACATATAAAATCGCTGTGAATTAAGATATCATTAGTGAATCCGCACTGTTTTTATATGTATGCATTGTATTCAACCTTTATTATAAACTACATACGGTTAAATGGGTCATAACTTTCTGTACTATTAAATCGTCCCCATATTAATTTGATAGCGTAATTGGGGTATATGGTATGGTATAAGTGATATTTGATACATAAGATATACGTTGTGAGACTACTGTTGGCCTTGTATTTTATTATTGATAATGAAATTGATAATACAATAAGAATACGAACGATCCTAACACAACAATCCACTCGCTAATAAAATATACAGTACATTTAAAATATTGCGAAAAATAATCCTTGTTTATAATTTGCCTAAAATTTCAACACACTAAAAATTGAGCTGGCTTTTTTCAAATTCTTTTTCTTAAACATATAACAATTCAAAAATATCGAAATCTAAAAAAATCTTTAAAAGAGACATTTTTTTGAAATGCCGTTATTTTCAGGATAACGGTAAATCTGATAAAGTACACCTACCTTTATCATCCTGAAGTACTTCGTTCTGAACTCGCCAGATTCATCTTCATCATCATCGTCGAACACTGTGATATACTTATACTCCTCGTCCTCGTACTCAAAACTAGAATCCGTCAGTCTCATCTTGAACTTAATATGCAAATCAGGTTGTGTATAGCGCTGTTAGGTCTGTTGCCGTTACACCGATTATTACACGATCACACAGTTACCGAACTCTTCGATTATTTTCCGATCACTGATGAAATTTCCAGGAATACCGGCGATTATATCGCCTTAATTGAGAAAACTGTTCAGTCGTGATAAAGAAAACATGGTTGTGAACACTAGTCAGAGAAGGTTCGGCCAATCAGAATCGCGTGTTGGTTAGAGAGTCGTACCCCGGGAGTCGGGTGGTAGCTGTCAGTCACGGTGTGGCACGGCTAACACTACACGGTGTTGTTATAGTGCAACTTTCTCTGGGTTTTAATCGTTTAAATAAACAACGCTATTTGTGTGCAGACCCTGTAACGGTACCAGGGTTTCCCTTACTGTCATACTGAGTGATGATATCGATTGGTAATCAGCGCACGTCAGTTCCTCCCTCTATTTCAATGTTTTGTTTACAGAAATAAACGATACTCCAACTGGCCTGACACTTACAATACATTGGAGATTATTTCATATAAAAAATGACACAATATGAATAATGCTAATCAAACTATCAACACCTCTGTATACATTATGTGAAAAAGCGGACATATTCAGGAATAAAATTTTCTTACAACACGAATCGTTTACTGTTTATTCCAAATATTGTATTTGTTTATGATTTGTTTTAATTGGTCAGTAAATATAACACTACAATGCTCTTATATCGGTCTTGAATTTGAGACATTTACATTTGCAAAGACTTTCAAATAACATGAAAATAGAAATAAATAAAACCTATAGTAAGGAACTGTGAGTGAGGTGTTGTGGTTTATCTCTGACATGAACATTTACGATATTGCTTATATCGTCAAATAAAACAGATACATTATTCTGTCAAATAAACAAAATAAATGAAATAGAAGCGGCATAAACATAATGATATTTCCCTATATTTATATATATTTTCCGTGTGTTTGCAATAATAATGTCAAAACAATATATCTAAAATATCGAAATAAGTAGTGAAGTGGTAATAACAGATAGTTTACTCTTCCTGACTGATTCATATGAATTAATATGTCAATTACGGCTAATGTTCACGTGTTCCACAGATGGTGCTAAACAACGTTACCGTAGAGGGACACCATATCATGAATAGGGACAAGGGGAGGCGGAACAGTCAAAATCTCTGCTGATTAAATCACGGGTAAAATCATGCTGAACGTAAGTATTTAAAATCCTAGATACTTATATATGCTGACATTTTAATATTATTTGTGATAAATGCTGCTCATAAAATCTATACTCTTAAACGTTTGCATCAGCGATATAGTTTTGAACACAAATACTTATACGTATTTAATTAAAGTACATATTTGTACGTTCCCATGTTTCGGACTTGTAATATTTCCACATTTCGGCATTGTGTGATATGATGGTAAAGTTGTGTGTGGGTTTATTATGTGTTAAACATCAATATGTACAGGTAAGCTATACACTGCGAACTATTATTGGGTTTGGTATTGGCAGGGACAGTATATACGTCCCTTGTATTGGGTATCTAAATCAGGTCTTATCGTTAAAGTAAGGCCGTGTTTATGTTTGGACATCGGCTGTCTCCTATATAGTCTATGAAATGAATGCTTTTTGTTTCTTTATGGCCGTTTATCTAAAGAAAAAAATCTCGATTGTGTATGAAAAATACCCGCGTTGACAATAATTCAAACATATTTAATTAAGGTCACGTTTCTGCACTTTATGTATAGGATCAAAATATAAACTGTTGTTTCAACTGATTTTTATCGGGTGTTTTTTATATAAATTATATATGATTTAAGTAAAAAAAAGATTTTGCAACGTAAGTTAAAATACAAAACATGATCTCAATAATATATCATTAACATGTCATTCCTTAATAATGAGTTCGTTTAAAAGTATATTATTGTTTTATAATGTATTTTTGAATACACTGCAAATATATTTATTATTTATTCTATATACAATATACGTATAAAATTGTGTATTCTGTAAACGGTCTATACATGTTTCATTATGTATTTGTAAATACTAGTTTAATATTATCAGTTTGTGTACATTATATACCTGTAGGTTTATCGTGTATTTTGTACATAGTGTATATGTGTTTATCATTATGTTTTTATGCACTATATATATGTCATTACATATTTTGTATCCAGTACATAATTGCTTTAAAAATTGTGTATATTTTGTGTACATAATAAACAAGGTATATGTCGTATGATGTACTTTGTATGCAGTATTTATCTATGTTTTATTATTTATTTACACTGTAGTATACAGAATATACATTTATCTATGTGTTTGGTGCTGTATTTTTTACACATATATGTTGAATTCTTTCGTATGATATGAATTCCTTAGTGTTTAATAATATACGAAACTTGACGTTGTTGCTGGATCACTAGAACGTTTATTTTCGTTGCTGGATCACTCAAACGTTTTTTTTCATTGTTGGATCGGATCAAAAGAACGGGTTTTTTCGTTGCTGGATCACTAGAACGGTTTATTTTTTGTTGGACCACTAGAACGGTTTTTATTTGCTGGATAACTAGAACGGTGTTTTTTTTGCTGGATCACTAGAACGTTTATTTTTTGCTGGATCACTAGAACGGGTTTTTTTGCTGGATAACTAGAACGTTTTTAATTTGCTGGATCACTAGAACGTTTTTTTATTTTCTGGATCACTAGAACGTTTTTTTTATTTGCTGGGTCACTATAACGTTTTATTTTGGCTGGATCACTAAAACGGTTTATTTTGGCTGGATTACTAGAACGGTTTATTTTGGCTGGATCACTAGTACGGTTCATTTTGGCTGGATCACTAGAACGGTTCATTTTGGCTGGATCACTAGAACGGTTTATTTTGGCTGGATCACTAGAACGGTTTATTTTGGCTAGATCACTAGAACGTTGATACATTGCTAATTACAAACCTTTATCTCATTAAGTGCTTACTATGAGCTTTCTCTCGTTAATTGATTACTAGGAATGGTTCTGAGGTACACTGAAGCATTAGGTGTTCAGAGATACGGAGATGTCACTGAGTACGACGTTCATTTGAATATGACCAGTCCGTCATTGACGTCGGCTGTGTGATGGCGACAGTAACTCACTGTCCTGATAAACATAACCGATCGATTCACTAACATGCTGTCTTAATAAACAGAATCGGTCGATTTTTGTTAGCTCATCTTTCTTAAGTAAACTATTTCTCCTTACTCAACCTCTTTCAATCTTCTTTTCTCGCTCTCCACATTCCATAAACCACATTTTGTCAATAATGCCAATCATTTGTTTTTTCATTTTTTCTTAGTTGTTTCATAAAATCATGCATCCTATTGCAATTCATGCAATCCGAGAATAAAAACAATAGGATAGAAAATCCTTATAATTACAGATGTTTGTTTTTTAGTATAATTGTATTTGAATTGAAGGAACTAACTCTGTTTGAAATAACAGTTCACATCGTAAAGGACTGATATTTCCTATCTTATATGGACACATTTTTATCGAGTTCTAGCAGCATTCTATATCTTAGAGGGTAATATTGAATATTGTGCACGTGTAACATTTAATTAGGTGACACTACATCTTTCCTACGTCGTCATTGGTTGGATCGTGATCACGTGGAGGTCGATGATTTCTGATATTAACTTGGTCTTACTAATTTTAGAACCAGGTTAATTTTCATTTTGTGACGTCATTTCAATTGTAACGTCACAATGTTCTTTGTCAAATGCAGTATTTTCCTCCGTTATTAACACGTTCCATCCTGTTTAATGATTAAACCATTATTTATAAAGCACCTAATATAACGTATCGGTTAATAATACATTTCTCAAATTTATAAACCACAATATTCACCTCAACAAAAGTCCATAATTGATTAATATCGTATTTGAATAAACCTGTTACGTTGTATCGTAGTAATTTTGATTTCATAACGTTTACAGTGTTAGTCATTTCATATGTAATCCTAATTAATGTGTCCCTCATTTTATATGTTATCCTAATTAACGTGTCCCTCATTTTACATGTAATCCTAATTATGTGTCCCTCATTTTATATGTCATCATCATATATGTCCCTCATTCTATATGTAATCCTAATTAATGTCCCTCATTCTATGAATAATCCTAATTAACGTGTCCTTCATCTTATGTGTCATTAAAATAAATGTCCCTCATTTTATATGTAATCCTAATTAATATCCCTCATTCTATATATAATCCTAATTAATATCCCTCATTCTATATATAATCCTAATTAATGTCCCTCAATCTATATATAATCTTAATTAATGTCCCTCATTCTATATATAATCCTAATAAGTGTCCCTCATTATATATATAATCCTAATTAATGTTCCTCATTCTATATATAATCTTTATTAATGTGTCCCCCATTTTATGTGTCATCATAATAAATGTCCATCATTTTATATGTAATCCTATTTATGTGTCCCTCAGTTTTTGTGTCATCATCATATATGTCCCTCATTCTATATGTAATCCTAATTAATATCCCTCATTCTATATATAATCCTAATTAATGTACCTCATTTTATATAAAAACCTTATTAATGTGTCCCTCATTCTATATATAATCCTAATTAATGTACCTCATTTTATATAAAATCCTTATTAATGTATCCATCATTCTATATATAATCCTAATTAATGTGTTCCTCATTTTTTTTTTTATAAAATCCTTATTAATGTTCCTCATTTTTTACGTAATCCTAATTGATGTGTCTTTCTAAATTTTATAAAATCCTAATCAATGTGTCCCTCATTTTTTTTAAAAATCCTAATCAATGTGTCCCTCATTTTTTTTTTTAGAAAATCCTAATTAATGTGTCCATATTTTTTTAAGGAACCCTAATTAATGTTCGTCATTTTATGTATAATCATAATTAATTTGTCCCTCGTTTTATATGTAACCATAATCTATGTGGCCGTCATTTTATATGTAAATTTAATCTATGTGGCCGTCATTTTAAAAATAATCCTTTATCTGTATGCACGTTCATTACGGCAAAGGACGTATAACATGTGGTTTACCATGGCCGG